CTCTGCAGTTCAGGCTGACCTTGAGCTCACTTTGTAGCCCAGACTGGTCTCGAACTCACAACAATCCTCCTGCCTCAGCCTCCCGAGTGCTGGGATTACAGGCGTGCACCACCACGCCTGGCTTCGAGCTACATTTTTAAATGTAGGCAAAATATTTCCGCAGAAGCAATATTTAGATCAGACCTTTTTTTTAAACTTTTTTTTGTTTTGTTTTTTTTACTCCAGTATCGGGAACCGAACTCACAACCTTGCGCTTGCCAGGCAGGCGCTTTTGCCCCTGAGCTAAGTCCCCAGCCCCTAGAACAGACTTTTTTAAAGGTTTGAAGAGCTTTTTAAAAAATGAAGACTAGATAGGAAGCCAATTAAGAGTGTTGAACAGACTTGTGGCCAAATTTGGGCACCAAAAAGAAAAAAATGTAGCGGCTCTGAATTCTTGTTTTCTCCAGAGAGGATGAGGTAGTGGTGCTTAGAACAGTTACTCTGGTACTTTATAAAGAGGAACCAGAAACTTCCACAGAGCGGAAGTGAGTACCCAGAGAAGCAGCCCAGCCCTACCTTATTCACCCTGTCCCGGAACTCAGCTGAACATCTGCTTCCTTCCCTACTAACTCAGCAGTTCTCAGAAGGGAGATGACAACCCTGTGCTTTTTCCTTCGCCAAAACTGAAGACAGCTTGAAAAACAAGGTAGTGTGGCCAGTACAGGAGCTCTTCAGCTCGGGTTAGGTGATTTCAGCTATTCCCAGATCACTCCTTAAAGGTGGTGGCTGATAAATACCAAAAGGAGTTTCTAGGAGAAGTATAGCTATGCACATAATCCTTCCTAATAGTATCCTTCGATGACATAAATGTCACTCGGCCCACCCAGGTGGGGCGTAAGGATTACATTGCTGATTGGTCAGCAAATGCGTAAGGTTACTTCACAGTCTTCTTCCAAAGCTGTTTGTGTTTTGGGCCTTCGTCATTTCTTTGCAGCCTAAGCATAGTCTTAGTCTAAGACCCTTTCCTTATGCACAGAATCTCAGCACCACAACTCTGCAGAAGGGGCTGCTTAGTGAGACCAGTACTATAATACAGAGGGACATCTGCAGAATGTCCTGTGCAGAGAGGCTCTGGTTGTCTGGGTCCTCATTAATAAACCCTTTTCGATCAATTTTCTCCAGAATCCGGGTTTTAAAGGTTTCTGGTATTACCAACTTCATTTTCACTTTGCACTATCCATCTATTTAAACTGTTACACCAATAAAATAGCTTACCAAGTGATGTTTGATACCAGACCAATATTTGTGTGATGAAATTTAACAATAAAAAATTAATAAGAACCACAGTGTTCTCACATAGAGATAATCCACTGTGTGACATAATAAGCAAGGTTAAAAAAAAAAAGGTCTTAATCTTCTTAAAAAGATTTAACTGAAAGCAATAGCCATGCAAATCGTGATTGCAAAGCATTCAAAAATCCAATTAATGCTGGGGATATATCTCAGTGGCACAAGTGCCTGCCTGGCAAGCACAAGGTCCTGAGTTCAATTCACCGTACCAAACAAACAAACAAAAAATCCAATTAAGCATTTAAATAATCAAAGAAAGTCACTTTTTAGGACAAATAACTTGCTTTAAAGAAGTTAATGGATGTACCAGGAGAGAGAATAAATTCTCTATGAATGACTTTCTTCTGTGTGCCAGGCATTTTACACTTACAAGCACTTCACACGTAATGTATGTGAAGTGATTGTTCTCACTTTATAGTCAGTTACGGAGCTGGGATTTAAAACTAATGTACGTATACTAACTCATTCTCTCTTGGATTATCGAAATGGGTAACTGGAGTTTTTAATGTTTAGGGATTTACAGTGATAAGTGCAGTAGCATCTGAAGCCTAAAGCCTGATTGTGTGGGAGCACTGAATCTAGTAGGGAAGAATCACTGTAGTGGGTTTTTTGGGAGAGAAATAGATATCTAAATTGGTGATTTAAACACAACATTGTCTTTTCAGATAGAATGAACAACTTTTGGTTTCTATATTCTAAAAACCTTCAAAGTGAATCATGCCTCCGAATAGTTGCCTGGATTTATTGTTTATGAAAAAAAATACTACTGCCAGCTGAACGAGAGACTGATAAAGCATTTATTTATTGTTGGAAGATTTATGTCCTCACCCTTAAAGGGGTAGTGTAGGAAATGCTGCAACTCACATGGAAAAAGAGAGGGTGAGAAGGCTTCTGTAAGATCAGAAGTCCTGCCGAACTAGGAAATTGCTCTATACCTAGAAGCTTCAAAAAGGGTTACTACTATAGTTTGTTGATGTTTCCCAGTGTCCTGTATAAAAATGAATGAGTAGAATACAACAGAATAGAAGATTAGAATGAAAACCCAGCTCATCCAGCTGCAGATCACTGCTCCTTAACAGATCAAAAAAAAGTGTGTGAGAGTTCCTGACACTGTGCCTGACACACGTTGGAGTGGATGACTGAAGAATTCAGCTTCCACACATGCAAGCACACATACAGCAATAAGTCACCAGGAAGAAATAGAAAGTGCGCCCGTACAAGCTCCTAATTGAGAGCATTTCTCCTATGCACACAGAGTGTCCCATTTGGAAGGATGCTTATTGATACTATGCTCGAACCCGTCATTTCATGTAAAAAAATACAAACCAGCAGGTGTTAACAGGGTTACCACCGATAGCCCATAATGGAGTGATGGATCTCAGTGATAATCATCAAAGGCTGCTAATACCATGAGGAGAAAGATAGCCAGTCCACACCAATTAAATCAGACTAAGGCCTCAACATTTTTTGAAAGCTGTCTGGGTAATAACAATGTCTAATCAACTTTGAGAACAGCAGCAGATTAAAAGACTTTTTGCAAAGTAATTTTCTTTGTTTTCCAAATACCTGTTAGTACTCTGGAACAGTGAGTGTTTGTCCTCTGCTAGTTGGGGAAAC